TCTTGGACTCCAGACTCAGGAGATTCTCTTTCTAAAAGCATGAGCTTCATGAAGCTCACTGAAGGACTTCGGTCTAGTCTCTGACTCTCACCCTACACTACCTCACTGGGTTGCATGCAGCAGAACCTTCTGTAATGTGTTGAAGTTCTTGGTTAGGGATGCAGAAAAGTTCTTAATCAGAGGAGTCAGTGTAGAAAGGTGGGTTTTTTTAAAGAAAACACTAAAGACCCCCATAACTTTCTAAGAATGCATGAGAGAAGAGAGGTTGCTCAAGGCATTCCCATCATTCCCGTCCTGCCGAGCACCATCTCGTTATTGCTGCATTGGACAGGGAGTCCTGTAGGGAGGGTCTTTGCTTGTTGGGGCTCAGTGCATTTCAAATCGTGTCTGTGTGTTCTACATCTGACCATACATATCCGGGATTCAGCACATTCTGCCACAGCTGCAACGACTCCCACTCCCCACCTTTGTGCATGATGCAGAGGAAGGTCGAGATGGAGCCAGTGGGCCCACGGAAATGAGGAAGGGCATGTGTGTCTGCATTCCCCTTTGAATTGTGCCTGTGTGAGTCTAATGGCTGAGTGAAACGTCTGCCACAGAATTTCAGCTTCTGCAGCTATTGTAAAGGAAGTCAGAGACTCATTTTTTCTCCTTGGAGTTTGAAGTCTATGCCTTGAGCTTGTCAACTGGATAAGATGAAACATAAAGAATGTGAATAATTTTAAAGTAAGTGGCCAGTCATCATTAATTCATTTTGTGCTCATTACAGTCCCATTAATCATGATTTATGCATTGGGTACTAATACGGAGTTGCACTGAAACTCTGGTTTGCCTCTAATTTTATTTCAAGGAAAATAATTGGATTGCTTAAAACCTGACCTCTTCTGCCTTGTTCCTCAGTCTTTCAGATGTGATGGCCATGGGGAAATGAGTGGCTTGCAGGATGGTAGAAAAAGTCCTCAGTTCTCAGCGCTTTCATGTTAAATCTAGGACAGGGCAAAGTGGAACCCTGTGACGGGTTACATTACAGGAGGTGATGCTGGCCAAGTTGCAAAGCCCCAGCAATTCTAACCAAGAACAGTCACCATGCATTTGGCACAGCAGATCTCTGCTCGCAACAAGGAGAATTGTTGCGTATTTCGCCACGCAGCAGCACCCAGCTGTTTTCTCGGGAAAAGCTGGTGTCTCCGGGTCAGTGGAACTACCTATCTAGTTCAGCTTGTACTCGGTGTAGGATCTATCCATGGTGCTGAATTCCCTCTCCATAAAAGGTTCATCAACAAACATGGGAGCCATGCTGGAGCAAAGCAAACCTACCTAATCAGGCATTTTGCTCATGCAGTGGTCAAACCAGTGCCCCTGGCAATCCTGCAAGCATGCTGAGAGGGCAACACACCTTCTGGCTTGTATTCCCTAGCAAACTTTTATTGACAAGCAAACTGCTGGAGGTAATCTATAGCCATCAGGGCTAGTGGCTGTTGTTAACCATATACTCCATAGGGAAGGGACCAAATGAAAAAACAGTTCTACTGCAGAGGTCTCTAAGTATATTAAGTAAAACTAGGAGGTTGGTTACTCAGAGGACGGCCTTTTCAGTGGTGGCACCCCAACCTTGGAATGTGCTCCCCAGGGAGGTTCGCCTGGCACTGTCACTCTATTCTTTTCAGCGTCAGGCAGATACCTTTTTATTCTCCCACTATTTCAACAATTAATTGGTTTTATCCTGTTTTTATTACTATTTTAGTCTGCTGTGTGTCATTGTTATGGTTTTGTTCTTGGTTTCCTTCCTTGTAAGCCATCCAAAGACTTTTTTTTAGTAATGGATGGCATAGGAAATTTTTAAATAAAATAAAAAAATAAATAAAATAAATAAGTACACTGCAGTGCCACCTAGAGGATATTCCATTGTAGCATAGCACCACCTAGAGGTTATATAGTGGAAAAGCAGGAAAGGGAAAACTACAGTATCTAAATCCTGCACAAGTAGATCTGAGGAGTGATAGAAAAGTTCAGTCTGATTTCCAAGTTAAAGCAAGGAGAGCTCTGCAGAATCCACCCATCAGAATCAGAATTCCAGACTGTTTAAGGCATTCAAGGTCAATAGCAGCACTTGGATTGGGTCCAGGAAACAAACTGCATAGCAATGTAGCTGTTTAGTAGCAGGTGTGTTATGTCTGAAGGAACAAACTCCTGTTAATGAGCAGGCAACACCAATCTTTTGGTTCCTAAACAACATACAAAATGCAACATTTGCTTCTGTACAGATTACATGCAAACTGTCAGTTAAACCTCTAATTATCTGGTTGGCTTGTGGCTAAGATGGTTCTGTTCAATTATTAGCTTTAGTTCACTTGTCAGCTGCAAACAAAATGCCACACACTACTCGTAAGCAGCATCAAAGAACAGAAATTCTGCAAATTGCTTTCTTGATGTAGTTACTACAACCCTGGGAGAGAGTTACATAATTCTGTGAATTGCATTATAAACCTAGTTTCTTGAGGCCTCATACTGTCCAGCCGAGCATCAGAAGTGGGAGATGCCTATGTATGTCACCCATAGTTTCATTTAAGGAATGTTCTTTCTTAGCCTGTGCATCATAGATATCTAACTCTACATTCTAAAAATTCGTTTTATTCAGACAGTGCAGATCAGAGGTGATCCTCCAAATTATTGAAACTATAAATCCCATCAGCCCCAGCTAGCATAGTCAAAGGCCTATGGTGATGGGAGTTTGCACCCAATGACATCTAAAGGAGCATGCTCTTCCCATACCTACTGTAGGGGAAAATGACTTTATTCTGCTTATGGATAAACAGATGCCTCTCTTTCACCTTGTCCATTGTCAAGTATACCTGCACTTATGGAGCGTAGTTTATTCTGATGTGGGTCTGGTCTAGCTAATGCTTATCATGACGGGATGAAACTGTTACAGCAGGGATGTGTTGAAGCTCTGCAGAATTATTATTATTATTATTATTATTATTATTATTATTATTATTATTATTATAACATTTCTATGCCGCCCCTTGCCAAAACCTCGGGGCGGCTTACAACACAATAAAATACATTGAAATACAATAGAACATAATAAATTACCATTAAATACAAAAATACAAAAAATACATTGAGTTACAAATATAAAATTAAAATTATCAGTATAAAATAAGTAAATAAAAATATAGGAGGAGAAAGAGAAGGAAGAAGAAGTTGCCCTGGCCAGATCATATGTTTTAACAATTAAAATGATGTTTAAATAAAAAGGTCTTTACCTGGCGCCGAAAAACCAGTAACGACGGTGCCAGGCGGACCTCTTTGGGGAGTGAATTCCATAGGTTGGGCGCCACCACAGAGAAAGCCCTCCTCCGAGTACTTACTCTCCTAATTTCTTTCATGGAGGGTTCCCGGAGAAGGGACTCTGCCGCAGATCTCAAGGGGTGGTCGGGCCTATACGGACGTAAGCGCTCGTTCAGGTAGCGAGGACCCAAGCCGTTTAGGGCTTATAGGTCATAATCAACACCTTGAATTGGGCCCGGGCTTCAATGGGAAGCCAGTGAAGCTGACGGAGGACTGGAGTCATGTGAGCATAACGCCCCGTCCCCGTCAGCAACCTGGCAGCTCTATTTTCCACCAATTGAAGTGTTCGGACTGTCTTCAGGGGAAGCCCCACGTAAAGCGCGTTACAGAAGTCTAGGCGGGAAGTCACCAGTGCGTGTGTCACCGTCGCCAGGCGGTTCCTCTACCATGCACCAACCGCCTCTCAGCAGACTCAACACCTCCAATGGGCCACTTGGGCTCTTTGGGTGGCTGCCATTGGCTGCCAGTTCAGAGGCTGCTATTCACAATCAGGACAAGGGGCCGAGGGAAGGACTGGCAAGCCAGAAATGTAAAAGACTCTTGATTGTGATAGAAAGAGGAGGCAAGGGGACTTTAGCCACCAAATCCCCTGGTATACTAATGGGAGGACCAAGGGGAAGGAAACCCAAGATAAGCCTGATCATTTGTTATGGGTCAGAGTGACAAATAACTGATATTGCTTTCAGTATCTCTGACAGATTCTACAGATGCCTGCACAGGAGTAAGCCTCACTGAATTCAGTGGGGCTTCTTTGGAAGTACATGTGTATAGAATGGCAGGTTTAGGTATATGGGGGAATAAACTCGGTGAGACTTATTTCCGAAGGCACCTGTATAGATGGGGCTGGTGAGCATAACCAGTCTGGACTAGAGGACAGCCAGTCAAAGGGTCAGGCTCCTCAAATCCTTACAAATGAATCACTGCTCAAAGTTGGGAAATAGCCGAAATCTGCATTCTTGTCCCTGGGCTAATTTGGATTCCGATAATAAAGACAACCACCTACACCCTCCTCACAGTAAATATTGGTTGCAGCATGATTTGTTTTTTAGACACAAAGTGTGCATGTAAACGAAGGAGGCCAATTCAGGATACACACAGCGCTATTCTTAGACGCTGTTGGACTGAAAACAGAAATTCAAAGAGACGCACGATGCGTCACCGTTCCTGGACTACGACTCACTTTTTCAGGGACGTCCGTCCAGATGGGAAGCCGACGTGGCAAGGAAGGCAGCGCTGCCACGGAAAAGGGCAGCGCCATGCTGAGCTCCCTCTCCTGTGCTGTGACATTGTCGCCTCTTGTCTCTTCCTGCTTCTCCTCTGCATTATTCGCTACAGCAGGTGGGGGAGGAGGAGGAGGGAGGAAAGCGCAGGATGGGGGCCTGATGGCCTGTGTTTCCCTCACTCCGTGTGGCAGCAGAGAAGCAAGGCATAAATCAGCGTTTCCAATTCTCTGTGGAATCCTGTGGGTTGAATTGGTGGCACACATCAGGTGATGTGTGAGTGCATGGGTGAAGTGTTTTCTCAATCAGATCTCAAAATGATGGGCAGGAAAATTGTCGCTGCAACAGAGATCAATGAGGGGCAACGCCATGGAGGTTTTGAACCCTCCGCAGAGGTCCCAAAAGGGCTACAGTTGCCTAGGCTACCCTCTGCCTAGTCCATCTAAGATCAAGGGGTGGAGATGCTTGAAGTATGCAGGCCAGGACTTCCCCGTCTTCCCAAGGACCCATGTTATTGGGTTCTGCAGGAGAGGACACCAAGGAAGAGGAGATGGGGGGGCAGGAGGACCGAAGAGGGGCATTGGCTAATGAAGCTCATTGCCCACAGTTTTCCAGGCTGACCGTAAGAGCAGGCATGTCTTGGAAGGGACAGGAGAGGAGGGAGAGCCATCGCCTTGCCCAGTTCTTGGACACAGGATGAGGCATCAGGGGAGATGAGCAGCCCAGTTAGAGGGCTTTCATGGGTCCCGGAGGGTGGCACCTGCAGCGTGGATGGAAGGGAACGATTGAGGAGACGTTTCCAGCTTGAGTTCAAGCTATCCTTCAGCTTGCTAGGGAGCTTTTAGACTTAGAAGAGAAGGACATAATGGGATGCTTTACCATAATTATGGAACACTTCACCATCAGTGGTTTGCCAGGTGCCTCCTTTGCTGAGCTTTAGTCACCTGACAAAAACGTTTCTGTTCCGGCACATTATGGCACCATTTTGATTATCTTCATTAATTTGCACCGCTTTTATTATATTAAGTTTTATCCGTTATTTGATTATTTATTTATTTATTTATTTATTTATTTATTAAAACATTTTTATGCCGCCCCATTCGCCGAAGCCTCGGGGCGGCTTACAACACTAAGTTAAAATAATTATAATATAAATCAGAAATATAAACATTAAATTAAAAATACAAAAATACAGAATAAAATAAGCTGCCCTGGCCAGATAAAATCCAATAATATTAACAGTTAAAATGCTGCTTGAATAAAAAGGTCTTCGCCTGGCGCCGAAAAACAAATAATGACGGCGCCAGGCGGACCTCTCTGGGGAGCGCGTTCCATAACTTAGGCATTTATATGTTATTTTATCTTGTTTATTATTATTTTAATTGTACTGCTCTATTTATGTTACTTAGGATAGACTGGAGCCAGCTGGAGCTGGGGGGTCAGACTAGATAGCCCAGGAGGCCCCTTCCGACCTGTTTCTATGCTTCTATGGTCCGATTCAACATGAGGAAGCTTCCGGAGTTCCTCTGGGATGTTGCCACCAACCATATCTGAATGGGAGGGTTAATGCAACCGCCCCCCTGCAAGGAAGGAGATGGACACACCCCACGTGGCAGGCTAACTTTGCACGTTGCACTGTGCCCCTTCTTGCTGCACTCTCGCTTTCCCCTCAGCCCATAGCCTTTCCACTGCCCTACGTCCGCAAGTGCCCCGTGGAATATTCCGTGCCAAGGAAACAGGGCTCCGAGGGAACATTTAGTGGCTTTCCTGCTTGTTGTTGTGTCTGTGTGATGCTGTTAATAAATAACCTGCTGCCACAAGACATCAGAGACAGCCCTCTGGAATGCCACTGCTGGTGTCATTATGGTTATAACTGCTATATAGCAGAATGACAGAGGCTGTCTCTTTCCTGGGCTGAAATACAGGGATACATTTAATACCTGACACATTTACATCAACCACAGTTTCTAGACATTGGGGGTTATGGTTCCTTCACTTTCTATTTTAACAAAATCTAGGCTGCTGGGCGAGAGTAGAGAGATTTCCTTTTATACTTGTTAAAATCCCTCACCCATTTATGCTCACAATAGCTCTGTAGGCAGTAAACAAGCCTTTGTGGGCCAGTTGTGTATGTGCAGGGGAGGCAAGGGGAGTGTCGTGAATTAAACTCGTTTGCAGAATGTGGCAAATAGCTGCAGACTGTGTTGAGCACAGATAATTTGCTCAGGCAGGACTGGACAAAAGCACGACGGAGCACCCTGGCATGGGGTTTTTTGTGATCAGTTCAGCTTCTGGGAGAACACAGGAGGAAGGTGCGTGGTGAGACTGGAGAAAGACAAGCATCTTAAGAGGGGAGTAGTGACCCACATATCCTGGCAACTCAAGAAAAGGAAGTTGTCTGAGAACAGATTCTCTTAGGGAGGGGGAAAGGGCAAGCAGCATTCAGGGGAATCCCTGTGCTATCTCCGATCAGAGATAGCAAGGGGATTCCTTGCTTGGGGCACTGCTGGGGCACATGGGATGCTTGAAGGAGGCACCTGATGCTTTGGGAGCAAATCTGCTTAGCACACATCCCTTCCTCCCAGCTTGGACATGAGCAGCGCCTGAAGGAGGTCTCCAATCCAGCTAGCATCTGCCTCTCTTTGCACACCGAAAGGGAAAATGGGTGGGTCAGATTCTGCCACAGGAACCAGGATCCATCCACTGTCTAATCCTCCGTTCGCCAGCCCAGTTCCCTTTCATCAGTTAAAAACCACAAGCCCTGCCTCTTTGCGAAGCCAGAGGGCCCTCGGACAGGCACCCGTGTGATTTCTAATAGAAAATGACATTCCTTAAAATGGCATTCCTAAAATGACACTTCTACACAGGCTCAAGACCATCCCTTGGCAGGATTCCTAAACCACATTTGGCAGCATAAAGGGAACTCCTCTGTCTGGCAGAATAATATACATTGCAATTTGTTGCTTTCTAGGGAAAACTGTGCAGAAGCGATAGCCTCTGGTAGGTGCCACACAGCCAGAAAGTCTTTGCATATCTCTCTGCATAATACTGGCAGTCAAGAAGAGACACGTTAACGCAACCAGATAAAAGATCTGCAGTAAATCCTACCTTGGAAGTATCAGAACAAATACATAATCTATGCGACAACAAAATGCCTGTTGGAATGAGTGAGTCTTAAATGCCCTGGAAAATGTTCTCATGGCTGAAATCTTTTCACACACTGATAGACAGTCCTGCATTCTGCTGGAAACTGTCCATTTGTCTCAAGATAAAGTCTGATCTGCATCCATAATAATAATCTGAAATCATTCAGGCTGAAAGGGGGAATGAAACGGGGGAGTTTAGGAGTTATGGGGTTGTAGGAGCATTTCTCAGTGTACCTGTGTCCTATTGTGTGCCAATATTTTGCCATGCCCCTTGGTTTGTTAAATCTGATCTATAAACAAGCATCCTATAGGAACGACCATGCTCAAATCCAGAAAGGGCACTCTTTCATGGGGACCCTCCTCAAAAATAAGAATTTAGACTTCTTGGTGGAGGCCCCCGGTGTGTATGATTCCCTCCTAAAAAAGTTCCACCTAATCTGTCGCAGAAGCCATTTCATGTGGGCAGTTCTTCTGGACCCTAAATTGCTAAATTAAGGACTGTGCTGCTTCTGGGCCTTCAACCTATCCCCATTGTTTTTATAGTGACTTCAATTTTAAATGAGATAAATACTGGTTGATTGCAGAACCTGTAGCTGCAAAAACACTGCATACGACTTGAGTGAGTCAATGAATAAAGGAGTTAAAAATAACAGTGGGAGGCAGGCGTTTGCCCGATGTGTTCCTCCTACCGTTCCCCGCCATGTTCTGATCATCACCTGCCCTTAGTGGGATGACAAACGATGCCTTGACTTCTATTGTCTGAAAAGAGACCACCAGGTCAGGGGCAAGGAGATTCGGTGAAGAGAAGCCAGTCACACCTCATTAGTAAGCACGCTGGTAGTGGAGGTTTCAGATTTGTTTCAGGCCCCAATGCAAAAGGTGCCCTGACAGTTTGAGTTATGTTGACAGGTTCCCCTCAAAGGAAAGGAGTGTGTCACGCAGGAGAGATGAAGCATGTTTCACCGCCATCCTCCACACGGAATAAATAGATGGGTTAGAATCTTTCCGTCGGCAACATTCCCCTATGGGGAGGAGGGAGAGAGAGAAGGAGAGTTGAGTTTGATGTTATAAATCACCATAATTTGTTACAATTTCCAAAGACAAATATGACAGGGTGGAATTACTTTGCGATGCTGAGACAGTCATCTGCAGAAGCCATAAAGTGCCAGAATAAATCTAACGATGAGATATATTTAATCTGAGGAAACAGCGACCGATATCCCCTCTTGCTAGATTGTGTTTACAAAGAACTTAGCTGCACTGATGTTGTGCGGTTGCAAGTTGCGTCTTCTGGTTTCTTCTTCCAAATTAAGCTGGTTCTCAGATAAGTATTGTATCCATTTCTAGAGGATTCTTGCAGTCACTCTGCTCCGAAGAAAGCAACAAAAACCCTCACATTTGTTATATCAGCAGAGAATATTGGGTGGGTTTTTTCGAAGGGATTAATTTTGCTACACAGCAAAATTGCTTCCGAAGGGTGGATTGGCACTCGAGGGTTGGGCTGATGCCCTCTAATGAAAGGACCCTGATTTGTTTTATTTTGCATTTTGATATTTTACATACCAATAAAACATCATTGGTGAGTAAAATATTTTCCCTTCCTCTCATTCAGCTTCCAAAGCTTTGCAAGTAACAGAGTTTAGAGAGGTGATTATAAAATCTTAGCCCATAGCCACTGTAAGCAGATGGCAAAGTTAAGAAGAAAGTGAAAATTCAAAACTTGTTCTACCTAGAGTTATGATGCTTCTTTATTGTATTTATGACACACACCCAAAAGAAGCAGCACAAGAAAATCAAAATGGATTGAAGTCACAGAAGCCCACCCAAAGTGCCTTTGCGGTCCCATGAATGAAGGAACAATTAAGATCTCCTGCTTCCCAGCTTGGGATTAGAGGAGGAACTCTACAACATCCTGTGCTGTGCCACTATAACCATTCTAGTCTACGCTCTTCTTGCCCCCAGGGGCTAAGCTGGGCAGGTGCAGGAGCCAGATTTGCACACACTAATTAAATAAGCTCCAAAGTCTTTCCCTCTCTGTGTATGTATGTGTCTTTAAAGGACTCTTGTCTCCTAAAGAAACAAGATTTGTAAGAAGGTGCTGTTGGATGGGAGGAAGGCATTTGTTTTCAGGAAAAATAATTCAAGCAGAAAGAATCAAGGAGTTGGATGACCAGCAGGTGAAGCACACGCGAGCAGAAAGCTAGCCAGAGATTCAGACCTGGCTCCTAGCACTGCCTTTGGCAGGGAGAAGGAGTCAATGGGAGGAGAACACTGTGGCCATTTCTCT